AAGTGGTTCGCCAAAAAAATTATCCCAATTTGATAGGTTGTAACTTTTGAATGGATGGACGTATCTTGTTAATTTTTTTTTGTTATAAAGGGCATTTCTTTAGCAGTAAGTGTGCACAACTGCATTCATTTGTCCTGATTTAAAATAATTTTACAGGGTGATTTGTAAAGCTATGATTTTAACATCAAATTTATTAATGTGCAGGAGGTAAATGGGTCACCCTGTATAATTTATTTTAAGGTCATCATAGAGCCTTACGTCTTAGCGCTGCGTGCTTTTTTGGATTTTGGTCTTACGTCATTTATTTTAAAAGATATGATTTTTTAACCATCTTAAGTACACATGAAAGTCAAAAAGTTTTATTTTAATTTTTAAAGCAATAACAATAACAATAACAATAATAATGAATAACGAATTGTTAATAAAAAATAATCAATAATGGGTAGGGCCTAGTGCTGTCAAAGATTATCGATTAACCGGTTAACCGGTCATAATAACCGGAAAATGAGGGTATAACCATAATCGGTTATCGGTCAATCGGTTACCAGTTAATCGGTAACCGATTAACCGGTTATGGTTATTATCTGGTCATATGGTTAATCGGTCGACCGATCGGTAGGTAAAGATTTTCTCTGCCCGCTTCTGTACCGGTTTCGGGTGAATCCCCGTCCTACATGCTTACGGTTTTAATTTCAGTTGCATGAGAGTAGTTGGATGATCCACGTTGCAACGTTGTGAATGACATAGTAACTAAGTAGGTACTGTCCTATTTTATTCTAAAATTATATCAAACAACTAATATAAAACGTTCTAATAAATTATACAAAAAATAGTCTTACCTTTTAAGAAAACTAAATAGGTCAACAGCAGCAGTTCCGCAGTATTCCGCACGTTAATTGTCACAATCAAACGATTAATTAAACAAATCGATAATTATCTTAAGACAACAGTCGTAAGTTACTTATAAGACAGGACTGGGTTATTCTCGATAAGTGCTGTATTTCTCGCTCCTGCCTTATGTGTAAGAAAGGAGTGTGAGTGAGAAAGAAAAGAAGCATGGTTTCAGCCTTTCACGCAACGCCTACGGAAAAAGTCGAGCGCGCACGAGGCAAGCACGAATATTTAAATTCTGGCGGCACGAGGCATGACTGGTACAACGTTGTCGGATTGTGGAAAAAATCCTTCGAAAAAATTGAAAAATGTGCCAACGTGAAAATTATGAACATTTTACGTCCAGCCAAAGGTATTCACTGGACGCTGGACAAATGAGCCGAAAAGGTGGACGTCCACCCAAATTCTGGACAGTTGGCAACCCTACCTTCAATGTACCGGAGCCCGATGACGACGACGATGAAGAAGACCTAGACCTAGGCATGTACGCTGACCTCGTCTATGAAGAAGTCCCAGATGTAAATGGTGTTGCACCCGGTAGAGTAAACAGAGATTTCGCTGACGGCAGACTTTTACAGAGATTTCAGATAGTAGCGATCTTTTGTGATATTTTTGTTGAATGGGTGCATAACATGAATTATGTATGAACCTTAAATAAACTAAAGATAAAGTAAACAAAACACAATAATTTAAAATAAACGTTTGAGCATGTATTAAACAATTATTATTACTTCTTTAAATGTTTTATTGTTGTTCCCCATTGCTTTACTCCAATTATCATGATCTTTTGATGATTTTTGTATTTGTGGTGTTTTATTTTATTTAAACCATGATCGATTAATTATATTAATTAAATTCGGTTATAAATATTAATCGATTATGGCCACGGTTAAATGGTCATGGTCAACTGGTTAATAATGACCATTTAACCGTGGCCATGATCAATTAATGACCAGTTATGCAACATATTCAGTAACCGGTTATTTACTTAACCGGTTAATATTCCATGACCGGTTAACCGGGAAAAATTGTAACTTTTGACAGCACTAGTAGGGCCCCCTCTACTTCTTATCACCTCCTGACATCTTTGAGGCATACTCCTGATGACATTGATGAGGTCACCCGGAATGGCTTCCCATTCCTGTTGAAGAGCAATTCCCAGCTCTTCAATTCCATGTGGTTCAATTTGGCGATCTAACATCCTTCTTTGAAGCGCATCCCACACGTTTTCAATGGGGTTGAGGTCCGGCGAAAGCGCCGGCCATTCCATTCTGGTGATATTTTCTCGTTGGAGAAATTCATTTACCACGTTGGCTCGATGCGGTCTTGCGTTATCATCCATGTATACAAACTGTTCACCTATTTGATGGGACAGAGGGAGAACTATTGGTTCCAGAAATCTTTCCAAGTATCGTAAAGCATTAACTGTCCCATGGACGAAAAGTACAAGTTCAGTACGACGGTCTATTGATATCCCCCCCCAAACTGTAACTGCACGACCACCGAAAGGTGTAACGCCAACCGTACGGTATCGGAATCCTCAGAAAACCGTGATTCATCTGTGAAAAGACATTGGGCCCAGTCATTTGCAGCCCAGTTTTGATGATTCAAAGCAAATTCCAGACGTCGCCTTTTATGCCCATGATTCCATTTTGGATGCCTAGCTGGCCGTCTGGAGTGAAGTCCACCTCCTAAGAAGACGATCTTCTGCTGGAGTTGTTACTCTTTGACGCCCTCCTCCGTGTCTATATTGCGGAGAGTTATTGTTTTCGTATCGTTTCCAAGCGCGATTAACCATACTGTATGCAATATTAAAGCGTCGGGCTACTTCCCTTTGAGAGACACCAGCTAAAACCATTCCGATGATTCTTTCAAGAATTGCACCTTGTAGACGCGGCATTGTTACAAACAATTAAATTGACACATGTCAAAACATTATTACTTCCGATTTTTTACGCACATAGACATGAAGTGAAAGAAAAATTAATATCTTCCAAGGCTATTGAGTTATGACCAAAATCCAAAAAAACACGCAGCGTAAGGCTCTATGATGACCTTAAAATAAATTATACAGGGTGACCCATTTACCTCCTGCACATTAATAAATTTAATGTTAAAATCATAGCATTACAAATCACCATGTAAAATTATTTTAAACCAGGACAAATGAATGCAGTCGTGTACACTTACTGCTAAAGAAATGCCCTTTCTAACAAAAAAAAATTAACAAGATACGTCCATCCATTTAAAAGTTACAACCTATCAAAGTGGGATAATTTTTTTGGCGAACCACTTCAAAAAACGATCAGTGTATATAAAGAAAAATTCGGGCCAAAAGTTTGATGGGGATAAATTTGGCAAGGTATGGCCAGATCCCCTTAGATGTTAAAAATTGGACTTAATGAAATATGAACCTGCCTCTTAATACAATGCATTGTAAACGATGAAAGTGCAAACCAACTCTTACAGATAGATATTGGCGGAAAATTAGAATGAAGAAATGCCTATCGATTTTGTTGCCTTACTTTATGTTTGTGGTTATGCTGCTTTTAAAGTTCAGAATAAAATAAATTGCAAAAATTGTACCGCAATATTAATAGAGACGAATTTCATTCGGTGTATTTACAAAATATTAACCCAGGGTGTCCCATCAAATATTGTTCTTGCACGTGGACAACACGCCCTAAAACAATGGATATATCCAGTAAAGTATACTTTAGTATCACCCCAATTGGAGCCCATGTTTGTAAATCTTGCCGAAAACCATCATACATTGTTACAAGAAACTAAAAAATAATGTTATAGCTGCAAAAAAACAAGATGTTAAGGTGTCCAGGAAACTAAAAACTTTGCAGTAGCTTACCGTTGTATTTTATATTTTATTTTTTTAAGTTTTATGTTCATTTTAAATAAATTACTGCCTATTTTGTTAGCAGTTCTGTTTGTTTTAAATAAATTACTAGCATACACATTAAATAATCATTTACATTAAATAACCAACATTTGTTTGGTTATATACGCAAAAATATTAATTCAAATCAAATATAAGTTTACTTGTCTTTATTTAAATTAAATCTATTATGTTTTGTTGAAAACATTAATTTATTTTAAGTAAACTTTAATATTTAAAAAAATATAATTTCTATATTTAAATACAAGAAAATGTTATTGAAGTAATTATTCTTAATAGTAATAGATCAATTAAACTAATTTTTTTATAAAATTAAACTTAACAAAATTATTATTTAATATTCCATATTATTAAAATTACACTATACAGCAGTTCTGTTTATTTTAAATAAATTACTATTTTAATAGCAGTTCTTTGTTTCTTTTTAATAAATTATTTTCTACATATTGTTCTGTTGATTTTGATACAATATGTACTCATGCATTATCCACTGCTTTAGTAAAAAATACTCCTTAAAAGCAATAATAATTCTTACTTTGGTTTCAAAGCAATGTAATACAATAGGCGCACGTTGATCAGATCGGCCTTCTGACGTCAAACTTTTGATGCAGGAGTGGGGGCTACACTCACGCCTGGTATAGAGAACGCCGTGCTAAAACTTATGCCCGGACAACCTTAAATGGATTATAAAGGGTTTTAAAACTTCAAATCATTATCTTTTTCCACTCTCCAGAAACTTATAATGGACCACGAATGTGAAACATAATTTAAACGTTTATAAATTACAAATTATTTGTAGAATATTATTTTTTTAAAACTTCAATAGGTGTAAACAAGAAAAACGCATTTATAATAATTAATTACAAATTATTACTAAAATGATAAGTTTTTAAACATAATTGTTATTTAAGGGTATGTTTTTTGTCATTTGTATGTAGGTTGTCATGGTAACTAAACAAAAAAAAAGCAGGGTAAAATTTAAATAAATATATACATAAATTTCTTTTAAATTATTACTTGCTTTTAGATATTTATTACCTAATACAGAAAAATCCAGGAAATAATAAACTTGTTGATTAAAAAATACATGACTGGCTAAATAGAAAAAAAACATTTTTTTGTTGGTTTATATTGGTTTAATATCTTAAATAATAAATTTATTTAACCTATAATTTTAAACACATATTTTTTTTTCTAGATTCGTTTGGTGGTTACCTGCGATTCCGTTTATGTTATCCATATTCATATATGATGAAGTTAGACGGTTTTATCTTCGTCGCAACCCTGGTGGCTGGTTAGAACAAGAAACGTATTATTAAAACATTATTGTACTGCCACTTGGTGACCATTGCACAATTATATTGCGGGTCACTTAGTTCTCGATAGGAAAAATTTCGTAAACTCGTAAATTAGCTGCAAATTTTTATTATCAACGCAAAAATTTGTAGTTCCAACGATATCTTTCCCTATCGATATTTGTACACATCCTGTTGCTAATTAAGTAATAATACTGCTTAAGCAGTTTAAAAATTATTATAAGTAGTAGAAGAGGGTGATCACTTTTATATAACAATAAGTATATTATAAATATGGTCAGTCTTCAAAGCGTTAGGTATTTATTAAATAAATAATTATTTGGTTTATGGACTGATCCATTAACAGTTAAAATTTAATAATAAAATTTTAATTACTAAAATATAGTAAGTTGTATTATTTTATCAGATCAGTCAGTAAGATTATATGCAAAAGTGTGTTTTCATACATTCCATTTGAAAACTACAGTTGCTTAGTGCTGTCAGTCACAAAACAACAGATAACATTTTTGTTTAGTTCTATGTTGAGCGTAAAGCGTGGGTCGACGATAAGTTAATCGTTACGGCGTCTACCCTAGGTTTCACAAAAAGTAGCGTCGATGTGAATCAACGAGGTAGTATTATTTAGGCTTTTACCACTTAGGATAGCTAGATTGTAACTGTGTTGTTATATTGTGTAAATGTCATACCAGTCGTGCTCAATACACAACATTAATCTAAATATCACGATTGTAAATGTTTGACATTCATTCATTTGTTTGTATATAGTTTACAGATATATGAGTGTGCACACAAGCTCTAAATATTTTTAAAATTTAACCAACTAAATTAATAAATAATGTTCAAGATTAGGCACACTCTTACAAAGTCTGCTTCTCTAAAGCCCTATTTTATTATACTCAAATCGCGTACGCTCCGGTCTAAGACCAGTCCACCATGGTATTGTTATCTTATTGTAAATAATTTTAAGTGAATCACCGGCTTGTGTTATTTTCACATTCATGTTTTAGTAATAATAATGCTGTATAAATTTGGGTTTTAATAAAAATAAATGATAGTATTTGTGTTTTATTATAATTTTATTATATATTGTTAGGGCGCCTATATCTATTTTGTTCCCAGACTGCAATGATCCTATATAACTTTCAAGCACATACATACGTCAAATAAATATAAAACATGTCAACATTTTATTCATTAAGGTCCGACCGAGATCTCGGCCTCGAATTCTTGGCCAAAAATCTGGCCGACATCTCTTTCTCGACGAAAAAAGTAAAAATTAGTATTAAATCCACAATTTAGAGATAACTTTTTTGTTGAAATGCAGATTATTCAATACCCTGTTGTAAATGCTATCCCTACTTAAAATACCCCATAGAGACCTATACAAAATAATCTATCGGGCGCTACCGGATTCAATATGTGCATTTGTCCATGGTTTTTTCCGGATACGGCCCGATAGAAAATTTATAGGAAATTACCTATAGGCACACCATAACTTTTACATTTTCCCTATAGACATCGATAGCAAATAACTCAATGAAGGATATATAGGGATATCCCTATAGAACAACCATAAAAAATTTGACAAAATTTTATTAAAACCTATGGGGTCCTATGGTGGAAAAACTAATTTCTACATTTATGTGAACTTTCCCCATTGAAACCAATAGCAAATAAATCCCTATAGAACAACCATAAATCCCAACTATGGGTCCTATACATACCGATACATCCTATAGAAACACCATACATTCCAATACAAATATCTATCAGTTTGAACACCCTATTAAAAATGCCATATAGAAACACAAAATAAAAATCTATCTGGTTCAATATAGGAATTTGAAACAGGCATTGCACTATTGAAGCAGATAGAATTCCATACCTGGAAAACCATATAGAAAAGTGATTTCTATATGGATTGCCATATAGGTTCATATTGCTCTATCTGGCCCAATATGGTTTGGGTGTGAAAAAATTATTACCATATAGATCCATATCTAACCATATAGGGGAATCTATATGGTTTAATATGCAATTTTCGTTTAAATTTATATACAAACATAAAATGGAATTCCATATTCAACCATATAGGGAAACCTATATGGAAAGACACATAAAACAGAAACCAGATAAATCCATATAAAAATCTCCAAGTTGTACATTATAAAATGAAATTCCATATTAAACCATATAGATTCCAAAGTGTAAACCAGGTCGTTCCATATAGGACATATAGAACCATATAAATCCATATTAGTTTCCTTATCTGGATCAATATGGGTTCTATAGGGCATTTTTAATAGGGCAGGGTCTCTATGGGGTATTTTAAGCAGGGATACAAAATCATTTATGAAAAATCCCTGCTGGGCATTCCATTTAGGACCATTTTGGGAATGCAGCTTGGAATTACATACCCTGCTTAAAATACCCCATAGACCCATGAAAATAATCTATCGGGCGCTAACGGACTCAATATGTGCATTTGTCCATGTTAGAAAATGTATAGGAAATTACCTATAGGCACACCATAACTTTTACATATTGAGGCTGATAGCAAATAACTCAAGGAAGGATATACAGTGCTTGCAAATCCAAGTCCGACCGTTTAGGGAAGGACGCGTAAAAATAACAAGGATAGAACACCAAATAGAAGGCGCTTACAATACGCACGCCTGACGCTCCGACCAATCAAATTCTGTTTGGAATTCTATCCTTATTCTTTTCACGCGGGTATTGAACAACCATCCTTTCCAACGCGGTCGGATTTGGATTTGCAAGCACTGTATAGGGATATCCCTTTAGAGCAACCATAAAACATTTGACAAAATTTTGTTAAAACCTATAGGGTCCTATGGGAGAAAAAAATATCTGCATTTATGTGCGTTTTCCCTATTGAGACCGATAGCAAAGAAATCAAGGAAGGATATCCCTATACAACAGCCATAAATCCCAACTATACATACACCCTATAGAAACACCATACAATCCCATACAAAAACCTATATGTGACATTTTAACCAGGGTTTTTAATGTTTCGTATTGCCTCAATATAGCCTTTACAACAAAAGTTTGTTTTATGTCTAATGGCCTGATTATGTCATCTTGTTTTATACAAATTATTTTGAGTAATTTTTTTTGTAAAGTATCCAGTCCATAATATAGTTGGAGCAGTTGTTTGATGGATAATATTTTATTTAGTTTATAAAATACAACAACTAGATAGTTTAGCTTATTTGTGATCAAATGTTGATCATACATTGGGCCAAGGTATTTGCAGGTAGTAACATGTTCGATCTTACTTCCATTTATGAATATCTGCATATTGGTTGGTATAGTATCCACATTGACAAAAGTCATATACAAGGTGTGTTCAGAAAATAACGGGAATTGTTAAATTTCGCGGGTCGGAGGGTCCGGTTGTCATACAATTTTCTTTATTATGTTGGTATACATGCCGCCGAAGTATGATAAAAACTTTAGCTGTTTTCATTATTTACTTGTGTTTTACGTGTTTTATGAGCTCGACGATATTCGTTCGTTAAAAGAAATGGATCAAAGAATTTGTATCCAATTTTGCTTAAAAAATGAAATAAATTCTGTGAAATGTTAACAAAGGCCTATACACGGTGCTGTTCTGAGAGGTGATTTTTGGACTTTCTGTGAAACCTAATTTCTTTTTAAATTCTTGTTAATTAGGTCAGAACTAAAATTTTAAGAGCAAAATAAAAAAAATTTGACGGTTAATTTTGTTTTAATTGGATGTTTATTAAAAATATGTATGCACACTTTTAATTCTCCAATTAAAACTTGCGATTTTATTTAAATATTATCATAACTTTTTAAATCAGATTAAAGATTAGTTAATTTCCTAAAAAAGGTCTATACATTTTTACTGTTTTGTTGTAATACACGTTTAAAGTTTTAATTTATAAGGTTAAATGTAGTATACATTTATTAAACAATAATTCTAAGGGTGCTACATTTTATTTAGGGCCGATTTATTTGACGAATAATTTCTTTGGATACTAGATATTGCCAAGACATGAAAGTTATCGGCCCGATAAACTTTACTAAAGATGAATAAACCGGTCCTTAGTTAAATTTCATGAATTTCTTTGTAACTTTTACTACAATTTTTCATTTTTGTTTATAAAAAACACTTTAAAAAACTAAACAAAAATTATAGAATACGTATACTAAAAATGACAATTCAAACATCAAATAAATTTTTAATAGATCTAAGTTTCATGGCAACCTTTAAGGATATATTAATTAAGGGAACATAAATGTATACGTCAAAGGTTAGATTAAAAGTTTGAACGTTTATTGCAACAAAACAGTAAAATATATAAAAAAAATTGTAAAAACCTTGTTTTTAGTTATGCAAATATTAAATATTTAAATTAAATCGCTAGTTTTCATTGGATAATTGAAAAAGTGCATAATATTTTTAATAAACAGCCAATTAAAACAATTCAAACCGTCAATTTTTTTTTATTTTGCTCTTAAAATTTTAGTTATGACCTAATTAACAAGAATATAAAAAAAAATTAGGTTTCACAGAAAGTCCAAAAATCACCTCTCAGAACAGCACCGTGTATAGTGAGTCTGCTATAAGTAAAACAAGAGTTTACAAGTGGTATAAGAGTTTCCAAGATGGCCGTGAAGACGTTGAAGATGACGAACGCCCCGAACGCACAAGCACATTAACAACCGATAAAAACATGGAAAAAGTGGAAGAAATGGTTATAAACCATCAGAAAGGTCGCTGATGATGTTGGTATATCGATTGGCTCATCCCATGAAATTTTTTCGAATGTTTTGGGTACAAAAAATGTACTCGAGTGTACAATGTAGTCTTGTCCATTTTTACATTTTTAAATTAAATAAGTACAAGTACAACTACTTTTTTTAAATGTACAAAATTTGAGTACAAGTACTCAAGTACCGCACAGCTCTGTATTAATTATGAAAAAGTAATTAATTCATAATTACCATGCTTGATACTGTACTGTATACTGTACCAAACATCGCCGCAATTTATTAATGCAAGATAAAAACCTCAAATATTGGCTAACAGCACCTCTCAGGCAAGCGTTCGTAAACATACGTTTTCAAACATCAGCAAATTTTGGAAACGGAATAGCCATTTAGACACCGACATAGAAATATTACTACTACCCTGCTGAAAAAGCCGGGTGATTGCGGGAGTAAATTCCGATTGAAATATGCGTCAAAACCGGGTGATTGAGAGTGAAAATCTTATCCGCCCATACCCGCAAACGCCTGCTTTACTTTATCCGCGAACGCCCTGTTATACCTGTCTTTCGTCCGGTTAGTGCACCCCCGCAATCATCTGCAATCACCCGCGAACGCCGGCATTTAGTTTTATCTACTTTCGCCCGGTTTCGACCGCAAACGTCGGATTTTGTCCGCAAACGTCTGCTTTCACACGCAAACGTCTCCTTTTACTCGCGAACGCCTGATTTCATCCGCGAAGGTCTGCCTTCATACGGTTTTACCCGCAAAACCTCTGCTTTCACATGCAAACGCCTGCTTCGCTTTGTCTGCGAACGCCCTGTTATACCTGTCTTTCGCCCGGTTAGTGCAACCTCGCAATCATCTGCAATCACCCGCGATCGCCGGCATTTAGTTTTATCTACTTTCCCCCGGTTTCATCCGCAATCGTCGGCTTTCGTCTGCTTTCACCTGCGTACGTCTGTGAACAAAGCAAACGTCTGCTTTTGCCTGTTTTCACCTGCAAACGTCTACTTTTACCTGCAAACGCCTGCTTTCAACCGCAAACGTCTGCTTTTACCCGCGAACGCCTGATTTCATCCGCGAACGTCTGCTTTCATACTTTTTCACCCGCAAACGTCTGCTTTCACATGCAAACGCCTGCTTCGCTTTGTCTGCGAACGCCCGGTTATACCTGCCTTTCGCCCGGTTAGTGCAACCTCGCAATCACCCGCGATCGCCGGCATTTAGTTTTATCTACTTTCCCTCGGTTTCATCCGCAATCGTCGGTTTTCGTCTGCTTTCACCTGCGTACGT